GCAGCCTGGCAGAGCACGGCCTTTCAGAGTATGTCCACGGAGACAATTCAAAGCAGAAGAGATGGAGGCAGCTGGGAAGGGAACTGAACTGGCTGTTCCTCGACTTGGCCTTAGCCGCTGCATTTCATTGATGTGTTTGTTGGGCTCTGGCGTGAAGGAGGTTTCCAGGCGTCCAGCAACAGCCCCCAGTGTGTGGTCCAGCACAGCGAAGGCCTGTTGCCATGCCACAGTGAAGGTGGTTTGTGATGAGTTTGCTGGAGATAGTGTGTAGGGGGCACCTTCCTCCTTTGTTTGAGACAGGGTCTCGTATAGCCCAGGTTAGCCTCAAACTCATGGCATAGCTGAGGCATGTAGTTAAAGATGACCTTGGACCGCCTCTGCCTCCTGAGTGCCAGGATTACACCACTAGGTTTTATGCAGTGCTGGGATTGAACCCAGGGCTTTGTGCCTACATATAATCCCTCTGTATCCTATACATGAGCTATGTGAACTACATCCCTAGCCCATAGCTCCTTTGTAAGTGCCATCTGTAAGGATAATTTGACAATTTCCAAATGTCACTTATGTGCCACCCATACAACCCAAAGCCTGGGTATATTGCTGCTTCCTGTGTTTCATCTTGTGCCTGGCCACACTGCAGCTTCAAGTTATTGGATGTGTATGTGGGGATAAGTTAAGTCAGTTTAAAAGGGCCTCTTTCCTAAAGACACACCTCATCTCAGGGGGTTTCTAGGCCAAACACTCTCCACATTTCATCCTTCTCCCCCTTCTCTCTGGTAAACCAAGATATTCTCCCATTTCCGAAGCTTTCCTGTGTTGTGTGTGTAGAGCAGAAATAATATGTTTGTGTGCTCGGCATCTGGACCATCCATCTCATGTCTCCCAGATGCGTCTTTCAGTCCCTGAACATCTGGGTTTCCCACTTGCAAACAAATCCAAGATTACCCAAGAGTTTAAGTTAGACTTTCAGCTGGATAAATTGCCTCACACATTTGGAAGGGAAGGCTGTGTGATCACGTTTGGATTTTAAAGCAAGGCCATTGGAGGCACTGGCTCCATTGTGTATTTATGGCTTGATATTGTGCATCATCTAGATTTTAGATTTTTTTAAAGAGATTTATTTATTTATTTATCTATTTATTTATTGATTTATTTAGGTTTTTTGAGACAGGGTTTCTCTGTGTAGATTTTGGTGGCTGTCCTGGATCTCGCTTTGTAGACCAGGCTGGCCTCAAACTCACAGAGATCCTGGGATTAAAGGCGTGTGCCACCACCAACTGGCAAAGACATTTATTTTTATTTATGCATATGTGTGCATGTCTGTGTGAGTGCACGCTGCATGTGAACCAGAGCCCAAGGAGACCAGAGAAGGGTGTCAGGTCACCTGGAGCGCAAGTTACAGGAGGTTGTGAGCTGCTTGATGTAGGTGCTGGAAACTGAATTCAGGTCCTCTGGAAAAGCAGTAACTGATGGCCGAGCCATCTCCAGCTCCTGAACACAGCTTTTACCGGGGTGTTTGGGATCTGAACTTCCAGCCTCATGCTTGCCCCAACAAATGCTTTATCCACCGAGCCATCTCCAGGCCCGAAAGTTTAGATCTGAAAGTTGGTTCTGAATAGAATGTACTTGAAGATGAGGTGACATGTGTATGTGGTGTACTTACCAACCAGGGAAGTCCAAGAACTATTATTTACTGACTCATAGGAAGTGAGATAGTTTCTTTTTTTTGTATTTATTTTATTAGCATATAGTAATTCTACTTAATGGATTTCATCATGGCAGTTTCATACACATGCATATGTAAAGGAGGAGAGGAGATGTGGGAAGGTGGGTCGGGGAAGGGATGAGTAAGAACAAAGCATGGTAACATGTGTATGAAAATGCCATAATGAGGCCCATCAGTTACATGTTAACTTAAACATTCAGTTGAAATGCTAGCTTGTTTATGAGGGGCAATAAGCCCAACCTCAGCTGTTACATGTAAAACTATGAGTTGAAACTTTCACTGGCTCTAGTAGTTTCCTGGGGGTGTGGTAACAAAATACCTTGATACCCAATTATTTAGAACAACAGACGTGTTCACTCACAGCTCTGGAGGACAGGAAGTCTGAAATCTGTGTTGCTGGGCCAGAGTCAAGATGTTGACAGGGCTGTGTACAGTCACTTGCCTCTGCCTTGGTGGCTCCTGGTATTCCTTGTGGCCACATCCATTCGCCTTAGCAATCACATGCCCTTGTCTTCTCTGTGTTGAGGGTCTTTGTTCCTCCATATCTAACTTAGTCATACCTGAGAAATAGTCTTTATGGTATCAGGTAGCATTGCTGGTTTCAGCTCTTAGGATGTGGGTATCTTCTGAGGTCCATTGTTCCTCCCATCATTTACATATGTTCAGATGTCTGTGGAGGAGGTTCTACCTCAAACGTTGCCACCAGAGCTGCCCGAGGTCTTCTTCCTTCATCTATCATTCTCAGGTTGGTGCGTCCCTTGAGTTGGTATTAATAAAAAGCCACCAGGCACTGTAGACAAAGGACAGACTGGTTTTTCATGTCAAATGCTTGTCTGTTTCTGTCAATCAAGTATGGCCAGGCCCAGGCCCATTTGTCTATGAGTGTTCTATGGTTGAGTTAGTGATTGCAGCGGAGAGCCGGGGCTTGTGATGCCTCTGGTAGTCACTCCTGTTGTCCCAGGGCTTAAGGGCCTCTGCTCTTGACTGACATCCTGACAATTAACCAACTACAGTTGGGAAAAAAAAAAAAAACCCAAAGTGGCAGATAAGGCTCAGACTTGAACCGGTCAACATGGCCAGGGAAATAGAAATCTCTAACAGGGTCTTGTGTCTACTTTTGTTCCTAGTTAAATCCTGCTTAAAGCACATGTACTTGGGAGGTGGAGGCAGGAGGTTCAGGAGTTCAAGGTCATCTTAGGCTACTTGGTGTGTTCAAGGCCAGCCAGCTTGATTTACATGAGTTCTCTCAAAACATAACTGAAGTAACAGCAACTAAACTAAACCAACCAACCCAAGGCCTGCCCCCAACACCCAGACAAAGCGAACAGATAAACCAAATAAAAGAAAAATCCATGAGCGCAGGTGAGAGAGGCCTTGCTTCCCACAGATCTCAAGTCAAATGCCAGAGAGGGCAGAATGGATGCTGAGCAAGACCAGGGAGTGCATTACTGAAAATGCCTTGCTTGGCAAGAATAGAGGTCCCCACTGAGAGGAGGGGCCTCGAAGATGCAAATGAGAGGGGATGGTTGGGAATCAGGGATAGTCTGGCATCAATTTGGAGTTCCACATAGTCCTCACAGCGGAGTACAGGGACAGCCAAGGGACAGGTAGAAGATTCCAGAGAATGTAAGGGGGGGGAAGGGGGAGGCA